CAAAAGCTGATGAAGCATTGAAAGCCAAAGAAAGAAATGAAGAAGAAGCAAAGAGAAGAAAGGAGGAAGGTAAAGGCATGCGTTCATTTTGTTTCAAAGCAGCAGTCATTATAGTGAGGAGTCACTGGCATGATTCTTGTCATTCCCTGGGATAAGCATCTGGAGAAACTGGGAAGATAAGAAATTATAAAGTGGAGTTGGTATTGGTTTCTTTCCTTCTGACTTTTATCTTAAATTATCAAAATTAGTGATAGAAATGGATTAAATTTATAGACACATTTTGAAATATATTGGCAGTGATAAAGAAAAGTCCCCTTGTCAGCAAAACTTTAAACCAAAAAGCTGTTAATAGAGAACAATAAAATATAAAATGTCAGTCATAATTCAGATTAAGAAATTGATATCATAATTTTTGTAATTAATTTTTTTAAATAACATTGAAGTCACCACCCAAAAATATTGCACAATGAAATCTAACACATTTTATTTTATTTTTTTTAATTTAATACATTTTAATCTCCCCTAACAAATTTTTATTTCCCCTTTAGTTTGCTGTGATTTATGTGAGTGAAAATTTTGTGTTTTTCCTTTTCAGAGACTTTATATATTACTTTTGTAAGTTGCAGTGCTTAAAGCAAGATCCAGGCAAATCTTTCTCAGTCAGTTTAAGTTGATGATCCACTTGGATTGGCAATCATGTCACTCTGTTGGCTAATTTACAGAGTAACTGTTTCTTCTGAGAGTTTTCAAGGAGTTGAAGCCTGATACTGTGTTCCAAAATACTGACTTTGAGTGGTATTGTCTAAATCTGAAAATTGGAATTTTTCCCTTAGTGCATATCATTTACTATGATAACCAGAAAAAATTTACACCCCAACTTAAAATTAGAAGCTGAGACTCAATAGAACCTAAAATGTTTGAGTATAATGGTTTAGAATGCTTAAAAGCAGAATTCCGTCAGAGCCAAGCCCTCAAAGCAAATCTGCTCCCACCCTACGGCCCGGGAAAACAAAACAAAACAAAACAAAAAAACTATGTCTGTAGATTTAGGTGGCAGAACCCTACAGATAAGTTAGATTCAAACTGAATGTGGACTAATTTATACATATAAATGTGTGTATAGTGTTCTTACCTTATTTGACCCTCATTAAATCTTGACTTTATTCTTTTGTTCTTGATCAACTAATTTTATGGTAAATTGAGAAAACAAGGAATTCCACTGGCAAACGTCCTTGGTAGAATTCTCTTCTTTTGCTTTCTGAAGTCCACATTTGGGTATTGTTAGTGGAAACGATCTATCTGATTTCAGTTATGCTTATGAACACCCATGGTACAAATAGATATATTATTATATACAAAGTAGTCTAAGCAAATTATAATATTTTAGTACTGCTTATATTATGTGGTATTCTGATCAATGTAACTAATTAATCACATAATAGCCCTTATAAAACAACTGTGGTTCCATAAATTACAAGTGTGGCATTTATTATCAACCAACATCATGAATATATGTTGCAATAGTTACTAGTTTAATTCCATTAATTCAAATCTTAATTGGAGTCATAACCAGTTGAAAAAGGGTAACACTGATATGGTAACCACAGATACTGAAATTGCTGTGTGATTTATTGTTATGAAGTATATGTAATAGGAATGCTTGCCCTAGTGTAAAAAACTCTCTTAATAGTTCAGAACCCCTAGTATACATGATGATAATTGATATTTCTACTAGGCTCTCTTTTTTTTTATCAAATTAGTTCTAACCATCTTTTAAAAGGTTTTTTAAGAATTTAAGTAACTATAAATACTTGAAAGTTAATTGTAATTCTTTTGAAAATATTCTTTCATTTAGACTTTCACTAAGTCAAACTGACCTTGCACTTAGCCTGTGATATACGGTAACCTTTTTCCATTTCAGTGCCTGAGAAATGTTAGGAAAGCACATCCCTCCAATCATAGCTGTTTTAAGGTGCATCTTTAAAGCCTTGTCACCCTAACCTAGAGTATAAGCTCTAGGAATGTAGAGGATTTAGTATCCACGATGCTCAGCACATAGTAGATACTCAGTTTCTTAATTATTGCATGCGTGCATGAATGAATGACCAGTTTACCTTTCGTACTTTTAAATCCATGCTTAAGTAACTTATCTTGAGCTTGCAGTTGATTCCAAATGACATCATTGAAAGTATAAACCAGCCTTGTTATGTCTTTTCTATAAGACAGGATCTCACTCATTAAACTGTTTCTCTGAAGAATTACAACCATTTAAAAAGAAACAAGGAATTTCAAAATACTATTAGTATTTGTTAGTATGGTTTATCAAGTCTTTAACTGAGCTCACTGAATTTTCTGTGCATCAAAAAAAATAGGAAAACAAATGTTGCAGAAAAATTCTACTGGTAAAATAACTTATGTGACACTAATTTCAAAAGATAAAAGGTGTGTTTCATTTAATAGGTTTCCTTTGCTTATATTTTTTGGGTGAAAGTAAATCGATAGCCAGATTCTTTGTTGTTTACTTCCAAAATTTTTTTCATATGAGTTGTCTAGATACTTGAATGCTATCAAATTAACCTTTCCTGAAAATGATTAATATATAAGCTACATTTACTTTATTTCAGATAATTAGTCTAGCTGCAGATTGAGACCTGAGATACACCACTATGTGTATGTATTTCTGCATTTGAAAGAATAATAATCCTTTATTTCTAACCTATAAGCCACTAGTAATTCACTCTGTCACATCATTTATACAATTCGTCCCTTAATTTCTCAGCATGCTGATATGTAGCACAGGGTTAAAAGCATTGTTAAAATGTAGATAAATGTTATCTGCCCAGCTCTCTCTATCCACTCTCTGTCATCTCAAAAAAAGCTATGGTATTAGCATAGCAAGATCCGTGTCTTGCAAATATGTTCTGACTATTTTGCAATCCTTTTCTTTGAGTGTTCTTAAATCAATATCATAATTATGTTTGCAAGTATTGTATCCAACATAAAAGTCAGGCTACTCACCAAAACTTGTCCAGGGAAACTACTTTCCCTTTGCCTTGTGCTCTTTGAACAGTGAGACCCCATTTAGAATGCCCTTCATGGTCCTTACACAGCTCAGTTGATTTTCCACTTATTGAATATCACTATACATTTGTATGGACCTTCTTTTTTGAACAATTACTTTCTAACTCATTCCATTTTAATTGAATTATATAAAGGTTACATTATTTGTAAAATTCAGCAATATTTAAGGTTTGGGTTTATAGTTTCCTACTTTAAAAATAAGCATTTTTTTCTAATTCTAGATCAGATTTTAAGAAAAATGAATAATATTAAATCTTTCAGTTCTGTTTTCATTCTTATTCTGTGACCTAATAAATGCTTGACTTTGTCTTTCTTTTTCTCCATATGTGTCTGAAAATGTTCTGACAATATATAGTTAAAAATCATTTCAACTTTATTCCTTTTGATTTCTTTCTGTAATATTGAATGCTTTAGCATAGCTGCTTAGGTTTTCTGTATTTTATTTTTATATTTAATATAGTCTGCATTTAGGGGTTCTAATTATGTTTTAAAGTCTTTTATAAGCATTATAGTCTTTCTTTGCTTTGTAACTTCTCTCTAATATGAATTTCTTATTTGTGGCATAAGGACAGTGGCTTTTAAATTCTCTTCCCCCTTGTGTTTATTCAAAATAGTTCTATCCAGCTGTTAGTTTTCTAATTCACATATTTTTGTTTCCAAAATTCTAAATTATTTATGGAAATGGTGGACAATAATAATACAAGCATAATATAAGGTAATTCAAGTGAAAACTTAGAAGAATCCTCAAGTCTTACTTGTTTTGGTTGAAATCCATCAAACTTTTTGCCACATCAGCTAGACAGGAGTAAAACAGATCAGCCTTAATTTCATCTTTTCTGTTGTTGTTAATCCTTTGGCAAAGCTGGGGGTAAAAAGTACCAGTAACTGCAAAGAAAAAAAGAGGTGCCAGGCAATGTTCTAAGTATTTTACCTCTCTTAATCCTCATGAACTCTATGAAGTTAGTGCTGCTATTATCCCAGTACTGTAGGGAGGATGCAAAACTAAGGCTTGATAACTTGTTCCATAGCTAATAAGTGGTGAAGTCAGTACACAAACTCAGGCAGTATGACTCAGTATACATCCCCCTTTTTAAACAGCCTGCCTAAATCACAACCCTTACAATTAGTGTTCAAATATAATTTATATCCCTCTTCCTCTGTCCTTTGCCTTCTTCTCTGGATCTCGCCCTCTGGCTCTTATGTGTTTACCATTTTTCGTGTCTGTGTCCTCAGTTAGATCTGTACCCTTACTATGTTGTCTCACTTACGTTTCTGGATGCCCAGCAGGGAGGTACTCTAGGCAGAGGCACATTTTATCAAGGTGTCCATGTCCTTTTCCCATAATTTCTATCAGTTTTTCTCCTTAGTGACTGGCCGGTTTATGTAAGACATTCACTTGTCAAGTCCATGCCAGCCTTCAGAGCCTGGACCAGACCCAAACCTACCCTTTGTCAGAGGTCCTGGCTCTCCATGCTTTGAGGTCCCTAGCATAAAGCACACTTAGCACCAAGTCTTACCACACTCAGGAAGAGAACTGTTACAATCCCTCTTTCCCTCCACTGTGGTTCCTTGCCTAAAACCAGAGAAGATGACTGGGGTTCTGAGCCATCCTTTATTCCTCTGGACATCCTTTATGAGAAGGTTGGAGTGAAGTTAAGAAGGCTAAAGTTAACAGGTGCAGGAGTATCATTTAGGAGTCAGTGTTTATTTAGTTGGCATGTTGACATCAATAGATTAGGGAGACATTAGGACTGTCCTTTTCAGCCCTCTCCTGAATTGGCTACCAGTTGTAATATGCAGTATGATTTCCTTCTTAAATGTTTGAAATTTTACCCCCTGCTCTCTTTGTCTACTTTATTGGGTAGTTCCATTGCAAGATTTTAAATATCATTGTAGGAAATTTGTGTTCCTATGTCTCAGAGTTAATAGTTCTACATCTTTCATAATGTTGTATTTCTTCAATATCTGTGTAGTCTTTTAACACATTA